TAAAAACAAAGAAACAAAAGCCAAATCAACTTAAGTTCCGAAATTCGTTCATTAGAAAACTCAATTTGACCTCGGAATTCCAGAAAAAAAATGGTGACACCTTTACAAGCACAAAACTTGAAGAAAACATTTAATTAACCCACTCAAGCTCACAAGTATTTGACAAACACATTGTTCATCGGTGACCAAAATCTAGGTCCATGCCTTAACTTGCAAAAATTATAAAGTCTATGCCTATTATCAACAGTTTTTACAATACAGAGTAATACACCTTTTGGTTTTTCCCACCTTCACTTTCCTCAACTTCATCGATATACGCAATGCGAAGAGATGGATTTCTGAATAAAAAAAAAAAAGAACGATCGAGTCTTCAGTGGTTTCAACCTCCGGAAGAGGGGAAGGCACACCAAAAGCCTCGTATGCCGAGTAGCAGTAGGTCTTCTCAAAGAGAGCCTTGTCGTTTGCAGTTAGAAAGCCTCATCTGCCTAAAGGATTCAAAGTGCTGGCCTCAAAATTATTGCATAGAGTGGAATTGCTAAGTTCTTAAAAGCACTAAAGGTCAAACCTCTTTGGTGATGCTAACAATTCTTTTATATACCCATGTATCATAGTGTTCACCACTTTCTATCGTCTTATTCAATAGGATAGCAAGGATAATGGTGCTGACAGCAATTTAATTGGTCAAGTGTGGGGTTCTACTTCACCAGCAAGAAACAAACTTTCAACAACCGAACCTCACAATCTCATAGTTGTTTCCTCTCTCATCATTCCAACAAGAAACACAACAAAACAAAACTCAATAGAGATCACAACATTTCTCGGCTGTTCCAAAGTACCTCTCATTCGAACATCTCCAAACAAACACAAGCACCACATAAAAAACAAACTAATAAACACTTCTAAACAAACACACATCAAAAGCTCATGTAACTAAAATAAAAAGGAACAAAAAAAAAGGGGAAATTCAATGCACAAAAGCCACACAAACAGAGCTAAAAAGGGCAGGACATCAAACGTACTTGCAAACAGAATCTTTAAATTTCTCTTCCTCAAGGAACTGAAGAATCAAGAACACCCCTGCTGAGCGACGACATTTTCAAATTCTCCCACCTCGAAAAGTGGGCTCCCGGAGAAGGGGTGGTGGGGGTGCTGACGGTCCGGTGGCGGCTGATTTTGCCAGCCCTTTGTTTCCGTCGGGAAGATGCCATCGGACCATGCAATAGCCTCGCCGTTGAAGTTCTCGACGACGATCCGAAATTTGTTAAATTTTTTGACAATCTCTTCACCTCATCGAAGCCAATTTTTGTGTGTGTAAATGAGTACCGAGGGTTTGAGATTTTGGAAGACGAATGGATAATAGTAAGAAGCATTTTTCTTTATAACTAAGCGAAATAACTCACTTTCGGCGGGGTCAACTGAATTTTACAGGGATCAAATCAACCTTCAGGCTTCAGCTCACGCAAGCACCACCGTACACTGACGGTGACGGATTTTCCGGTAAGGCAGCACACAATACGGGTCGTTCTGACATTCCACGTGCTTTCTTGAAGGCAGATGTGAATCACCGTGAAATTACAATAACAGTCACATAAAAGCAACATACAACAAGGGCCTTCTCGTCCATTCGGCATAAAATAAGGGCAAGTAATATGAAGGACAACGAAACGGCGCCGTTTGGATTCCATTTAGAAAACAAATAACAAAAGCAGATTTTTGAGATAATTGCAAATTTGGTCCCAAAACTTTTGCTGTTTCCCACATTTGGTCCCAGGCAGTGCAAATTTGGTCCTTTTAGATTTTTCGTTGCGAATTTGGTACCAAACCGTCTGGACTTAACAGTCTTCTTAGTCAACCACGTTAGTCAAAGTCTGTTTGGTCTAAAAGGAGGGAAAATTAGCTGCTTCATACTCAAATGGCGAGAAAACTGTGAAGATTGCCCCCTTATAAATAAGATAATCAATAGGAAGATGAATTCATCATCTCCAACCATTTTCCACCAAAAAAAAAAAAAAAAGATGAGTTCTTCAAGTTCGTCGATGCGAGAAACCCGAGTTCTTTGTCTTTGCGGTAAGTATGCTCGAATGACAACTTCATGGACGTCAGCCAATCCCGGAAGGAGGTACCTGCATTGCGAGGAGAAAGCTTGCACATTTTGGAAGTGGTTTGACCCTCCGATGTGTGCAAGATCAAAGGAGATAATACCTGGTCTGTTGACTAAAATAAATCGCCTAGAAGATGAAACCAACCGGCAGCATGAGAGTGCAACTACTCTTGAAGCAAATGAGAAAAAAATGAAGAAGGTGAAGAAGCTGGAAAAAGAAAATAGTCAACTCAAGAAGAAGAACAACATTTTAGTGCTACTAGTTGTAATCACATGGTTGGTGTTGATGTTTAAAAAATGAGCAGATGTATGGTATTTGCCCTAATGTATGTTGTTTCTGATTTGCCCTAATGTATGCTCTGCCACAATGTATGCTCTTTATCTGATTTGCCCTAATGATGCTATGTTTCTGATTTGCCCTAATATATGCTCTGTTTCTGATTTGCTATGTAAGCAACAAGCAACATATTGCTCTATACTAACTAATGCTTCTAATTTGCCAACAGCCTTGTTTCATTCAATTTTATTTTTCCTAACAAACCCACAGAATTGGACCAAAGAAAAAAAAAACAGCACCATTGATTGTTCTTAAAGCAGCACCAACAAGTGTATATACACATTGTACACAAATAAAGACAAATAAAACAAATAAAGCAGCACCATTGCAAACACAAATGAAAACAAATAAAGCAGCAAACACAATTGCTCATATCAAATCCAAAAACAACCACCACTGCCCATTCAATTCAACAACCATTGTTCATACCAATTCACCACTTCATCATACCCAAGTTCAAAAGAAGCCAAAAGAAGCATACCACTTAACAAACAAGACACTGAAGATATATTACAGCAGACCCAAGTTCACCACATCATCATACCAATTCACCACTTCATCATACCCATTGTTCACAGCAGACCCAAGTTCCAAGTTCCAAAAATATTCACAAAACATAACCAAAATATATTACTTCAACAAACAAGACACTGAAGATAATGGAGGAAATGAATAGAGGACTTATGGCATTGGATTACTTGAAGAAGCAGCCTCTTTAGTGCCTTTTCTTGCTCCCTTTGATGTTGTTGCCTATATAATAAAAAGAAACAATCAAGCAACCTTTGATTTCATAAAAGAAACAATATAAAAGGAATACATAAACATTAAAATAGAACAAGACATAAGTAACTCACACTCATTTGGGATTGAGGCTGGGATTGAGGCTGACTTGCAGGTGGGAACTCATCTCCTTGAGTCAACTCCTCAGCTTCAGCTTCAGCTTCCATGTCAAAGGCACCATCTTGAAGTCCACTTTCAGCCAGCTTCTTCCACTCACAAGTTCTTTGATTATGCCCCTTTTGATGGCAAAACTTACAAGTCATCTGTCCCCTTTGATTCTGAATTTTCTGCCTATATTTGGTTTTTTTACCACCACCCTTATCTTCACCTGCTCCCATCCTTCTCTCCCTCACAGGCCTACCCCTTTTTCTTTTTCCAAAATTTGGAGGTAATGGAGGAATGTATCCTGTCCTATCCCACAGATTAGGTCCAAATATTGGATTAATGGCTACTTCATACACTTTGGCATAGGTTTCACATGAATAACATTCATCCACAAAGTCCACTGGTTGATGCCCTTGTGCCAATAATGCACTGCATGCATGCTTGCATGGAATTCCAGTTAAATCCCATTTCCTGCAGCTACATGTTATGTCCTTCAAGTTCACAATGTGTCTATCACCACTACTACAATCCAGCTGGTAAATCCAATCAGTGGATTTGATTGGTATGCAATCACATGACTTGCTTTCATGACTATCTACAATTTTTCTGATCTTAGGACATATCTTCTTACCCTCCCACTTTCTCTCAGCCATGTCCCTATTCTCTTGCAGCCTACTCATCAAGTACTGCCTCACCCATTCCAGCATGGTTAGGATTGGTTTCTGCCTGGCCTCTACAATACAACTATTGAAGACCTCACATATGTTATTCAGCAACATGTCTGATTTAACACATGTTGTGAAGTGGGATTTTGACCACTGTTGTGCAGGTTTTTCTTCAAGCCATTCCTTGCATTTTGGGTCAATTTCTCCAACCCTTTTCATTGCCTCTTTAAAATCAGGAACTGTTGTTGCTTTGGCTGCTCTCCATAAAGCCTTCTTAAATGCAAGTCCTCTGAACCCAGCTGTCTGCATGTTGGCATGTAAATGTCTCACACAAAATCTGTTATGAGACCTGGGAAACACATCTTCAAATGCAGGAATTAGGCCCTTCTGTTTGTCAGATATAAAGGTCCACTCCTCCTCATTAACAATATCCAAATCAGACTTCAGATTCCTCAGAAACCAGGACCAAGAATCTTTTGTTTCTCCCCCAACAACTGCATATGCCACAGGATATGGATTGTTAGAAGGATCTACCCCAACAGCTGTGAGCAGAATTCCACCATGCCTACTCTTCAAATGGCAACCATCAACCCCAATTAACTTTCTACATCCAGAAATAAATCCAGCCTTCAATGGGGCTAAGCAAATGTAGATTTTTTCAAACTTTTTCTCTCCATCAGGACCAGGGGCATCTGTAAGTGTCAACAGGATGGTGCTTCCAGGATTTTTCTCTCTCAATGTTTCAGCATAATCCCACATTTTGGCATATTGGTCTGCATGGTCACCCTCAATTGCCTTCAAAGCAATCTGCTTGGCTCTGAATGCCTTGTTCTTGGATACATGGCACCTTAGATCACCAATTGCATCTGTCCTGAAACCCCTGAGTGATCTTTGAGGGTCACTTCTGAATGCTTCCTCATATTTGTCTGCAATCCATCTTGATGTCAAATTCTTCACTTTCCAAGATCTTGCACAAGAGTGCTTGTAATTATAAGATCTTATCATGTAGGCTTCTTCATTGGTCACTTTAATGGCATTAATTGCCCAGGGACACCCATTTGCCTCTTCATAACACCTAACATAAACTCTTCTTTTATCATTTTTGGTAAACTTCAAGCTTCTGTGGGTTAGCACTCCATGGTTAGCAATGGCTTGCTTAAACATCTTCTTAGAGGGAAACTTCTGGCCAAGTTCAAACTTTGGATTGTTAATATGCCTCTCATTGAAGACATTGCTCTCAGTTTCTTCATTTTCCCCATTTTGTTCATCTGAGTCACTGCAACTAGAGAAATCATCATGACTGCTATCCTCTGTGCACTTGGAACTGGAACTGTCTGTGGACATTTCATCATCAACCTCATGTTGGTTCTCTTTCTGTTTAGGCCCCTCCACACACTCTTCTGCCTCAACATATTCTTCAAAAAGGATATCATCAAAACCACTGTCAGTGTCCCTACTTGCACAAAAGTCCTCATCCACAGATTGGTCACCCTCATCCTCAAGCACACTCATATCTCCATCACCTACAGGCACACTCCTTTCACCATCACCTACAGGAACACCCCCATCACCTACAACAACACCTCCATCACCTACAGAAACACCCCCATCACCTACACTCATATTTCCTGTTTTCTCAGCAACTAACCATATATGGACTTCTTTCTTCTTATGCCTATCAATAGCCAATAACAAATCTGTTTCCATGGTTATCTCCCTGAACTTTTTGAAGGAGTCAAACCTGTAAAACTTTTTGACTCCACCATAACCCAACTCCTCACAGAATCTACCCAAGTCACCCATGTTAACCTTACTTTTGTCCACATAATCAAAGGCACTAATCTCTCCTCCCACATACCTCTGATGTCCTGGAGTTATATCATCCATTATAACCCCATCATGGTGTATTTTCAAGGTAAGGAAATAAGGGTCTTTGCCACCTGCAATTCAATAACATGAAACAAATAAAAAATTTGATACAAATGACCACAATCACTTGTAAAAATAAACAACATAACAATAACGTTCATGGACCACCACTGAAATTGTCTACTTGAAAAGGAACATAACAAATTCATGGACCACCACTCTCAGTCATCACAAACATTAGTCTCAGACCACATACATTAATCCAAATGGACCACCACTCATCACTCATCAGTCATTAGCAGGCCACATACATTAATCCCAACATTACCAATTACATTGTAAAGAATAAACACAAAAGCCCTAATTTATATGATAAATAAACCCTAAAGCCCTAAATTATCAAATAAAATAAACCCTAAAGGCCTAAATTGTCAAATTCCATCATCTACTATATATACAAAACAAAAACCCTAAATAACATACAAAACTAACATAACAAATGCCGAATGTTAACAAAACTGAAAAAAAAAGCCGTGAGAGTGAAAGAAAAATCACGAAAATGAATGTTACCGTATTTCGGGTTTGAAGAACACGCTGCATCCTCTGAGCGAAGCATGTTGCACTGCCAGCGTCTAATTTCAGTTTTATCTAGGGTTCATGTCGATTTTTGTGATGAATTTAGATGGAAATCTCTGCCCTAATTTTCGCCACAGAGAGAGAGAGTTTTCGATTTTGTGTTTTGAGAGTGACGGTTCGATTTTCTAACAGATAACAAATTAAAAATAACGACTAACGTGGTTGACTAAGAAGACTGTTAAGTCCAGACGGTTTGGTACCAAATTCGCAACGAAAAATCTAAAAGGACCAAATTTGCACTGCCTGGGACCAAATGTGGGAAACAACAAAAGTTTTGGGACTAAATTTGTAATTATCTCGCAGATTTTTTGCCAAAATGAAGTGGCAAAACTGTAAATAAAACGGTACACTCTCAAAATAATGGCAAAAATGTAATAAAAATTGGACACTTGTCAATTTTTAACAATGGCATAATGGGACACTTGTCACCGTTTAAAGGCCACACACTTCTTCATATATATATAGTAGAGATATATTTTATGTGTTACACAAATACATTTTTAATAAATATTAAAATGGGAATGGGCTATGATAATGGATACTACATGTCATCCGTTAGGTCATGTATGACAGCAACAAGAGCGGTTCAAGTGGATCGGTAGGTTGACCAGAGGATGTACAATAAGAAGACTCGAGGTCACTAGAGTATCAGGTCGATGATAATCTCCGAAGGTAGAGCAGTTCAACAACAAGTTGAGCTAGAACTCTTGGTTAGCCTAATGGAAACTCAACCTGTAAAGTGAAGAGGTTGATGTAAGACCTAAAAAGCGAACTTAGTCATTGAAGACCAGAACTACCCAGTTCAAGGGAATTGAACTGACAACACAATAATGCTTAAAAGCAACTACCTAATGAGGTAGACTAGTGTGAACACACAAGATAACGGATAAAAGCGAATATAATTAGGATAAGGTCATGTGGATAGGTGTATGCGGCTAATAGAATTGAGCAGTTCGGGCACTCGGGCAGTGTGATTGGGTTATTCGGGCTCGAGCAATTAGATTTGCAAGACTTGGACAACAAAATATGATCATCATCACTCTACACACTTTGAGTATTCTAAATACAAATACATTTGTATATAGTTCATCTTCATCCTTGTTTACTGACTTGAGTGTCGGAACTTCTACACCAAGACAACCCTCGACACTGTTTTGCAGGTAATTCCAGCAATTTTAAGCACGATTAAAGAGGCGTTGAACCAAATTGAGGTCGTTTACACTACCAAACAAAGATCTTGGGGCAATTTGTAAAACAATCGAAATTATTCAGTAATGCTAAGGAGCCAACTGTTGGCTCCGTTATGGAGCCAACAGCCAATGGGACAGCTCCATGTGGGGCTGTCCCACATGGCTCCAATATGGGACACCCCCACATGAAACTGTCCCATTGGCTGTTGGCTCCATAACGGAGCCAACAGTTGGTGGATTTTCTTGGCAAACAATTTGTCTATTCAAGAATAGAGATGAAAAAAGTACAAAACATTATTTTTTTCTTGGCAAAATTATTAATTAGTTTAGGAGAGTTGGTGGATTTTCTTGGCAAACAATTTGTCTATTCAAGAATAGAGATGAAAAAGTACAAAACATTATTTTTTTCAAATGGTGAGATATATATGTTTGTGAGTGATTATAAAATAAATATAATATAAAAAATAATAAACTAGTAATTAGTAAAATTTATAGTCAGAAATATCTAAGTTAATGAATAATAGTTTTATTAGAATACACAATAATAAATATTATGATTTGAATATTTTAGTGGAATTGAAGAGAAAAATATGAGATATTATAGAAAATAATTTTATGATTTTTTTACTTTGATCACCCGTTCAGACAAAAAAATAAAAAATAAAAAAATTATATAACCAATTGCGACCTAAAGTATCCGAAATTTGTCTAAAAATGATATAACCAATTCGAAAGTCGATACCTACGAAGTAAAAATGATTTTTTATTATTATTTTTTTTTTTCACAAGGCCCAAAATGGGGTGGCTCCCTCCAACAAGAAAATGTCTTATAATTTGGGAATCATTTCAGCCTAAATCCCTAAAAAAGCTTCGTCGTCTCTTCACTGTGGATCTACTCTTTCAAGAATTATCGGTAAGTTGACTCTAATTCTGCGTTTTTTTCACCCGTTCTTCCTTCCTATTGCGGTAATATAGGTTTTTCTTTTACTCATCATCATCACGTTAGATTATATTATCTTCTTTTCCTACCGGCGCAAATCGAAATTTGAATTCCGATGTGAAATCATTGCCGAAAAAGTCCGCTATAAAGCTTTATGCTGTGACCTGAGGGGTAGTCCTGATAGTGATTTGTTATTTAGACTTTTCCAAGTATTAATTAATCCTTTAACTATACCTCCTGGTGTTGTTACGCATTGTACCGAAGCTTCAATCTTGAATTTTTGAGTGTCAAATCAATCAATAGAAAAAAATAGAAAATATTTGAAGTCGAATTTTCCAATGTATTCAACTTTTTTTTTTT